ACCCTCCAAAGACGTGGCTGCGGGAGGAAAATAAATGACAAATTGAAGAGACGGATAAACGAATGGCAACAAAAGAGCCCAGAACAACCTCCAAAGAAATTAAAAGGGGAATTACACGGTCAAGGTACATCAGAGTCAGATTGCACCATCTGCGTGTGTGGACTAATAATAATAATAATAATAATAATAATCATAATAATAATAATAATAATATACATTTTCCAACAGCCACTGCCACATTATTACTGACATTACTCGGGCAGCGCAGTCATTTCGTATCATGCTTTCTGACAAGAAATACATAAACCAAACAATTGCGGGCTTTCGACGAGGTTGAATCTAGTTGAGCGCGGTGACGTCATCAAAGGGAACCAGGAAGTGACTATTGCTGACACAGGTACGAGACTGGGACGACAACACAGCAGGGCGACGAAGGGGAGCTGGCTGCGCCAACGTCTGGTTCAGTCCATGGAGAAACGATGAAAGGTTGCGTCCGGACTGGATTTGAGGCATCGCCAAGGTTGGTTTGCTTCCTCCCAAGCTCGCTTTAGCTTACAGCCGAGGCTAGCTTTAGCACCAAGTCATTCAATAGTCACCACTGAACACCTCGTTGAGGAAATGGGGTAGACGCGCACAGGTTTATTTGTTAGTACTTTTGTTTTTTTTTTAACGTCATGGTCAGTGTCATTAACAGTCACACATATTGCGGTGAAACCGGAGAGCAAAAGGGAGGCGGTTTGTTCGAGCGCAGCAATCCCTGCAAATGTAGACTGGACGCAAGTGAACCAAGAGCCGTGACGGTACACCAAAATCGGGGTTCGGTACCAGGAGCACGCAGAAACCGATTTGTTCATCTCACCTGCACTTGCGCTCCTGGGTGTACGCTGGAGTGACCTGCGTGACGAGTGTGTTCGTGCGCTGCCTGCTGACGCGCCACAGGAGTCGATGCTTCGGGAGCCCCACACATGGGATGGCTAACTTTCAAAATACAAACGAAGCCGCAGCACACCCTTCAGTCTCGGGGTTAAAAGAAACCCAAATCGCTCGAAATGGCGAACCCAAGCCGGTGTTCAAAAGGGACCGCGAATGTTTTGTTACTTCAAGCCACTGCAACGGGGTGACAAGCTACCCCGAAAGTGGCTGTCTGCTGCTTCACAGGTATGCAAATGTTATTCCCAACATTTTCCAAGAAGAAGCAATTTTCCCCTGTCAGGGCTTGCCGCAGTGAGACACTCGCATGGCGGCACCGTTTTTATACCCTTTTTTTTTAATGGTTCAGCCATCCACTCTTTGGTAACCGTAACCCAATCGGCCCCACGTCCACAACTACCCAGCGAATGGTTTAAGAAAACAACACAGTATTTTTTTAGGATGTATAGATAACATCCACAGAAATTACTCATGTATAGATTCAGATTCAGAAAACTTTCATTTATCCCCGTGGGACAATTAGAGTTGTGCGAGAGCGGCTTATTATAGAGACAGTCAGAGCAAAGGAAAAACATAGGATGGGAGTAGGGCTGTAGGCTTAGGACTTGAGGTCTTGAGATCGTGATTCCAGCAACAAAACAGTATTGCACATCGATAGTCATCTCGATAGTCATGTGTTCCCTCAGGATAAGTACACTGCGGTCACAAAATATGAATCTGTGGCCATACAGTGTAGCTGGATAAGCAATTTTCGGTGTCTCGATCATGCCTGCGGAGCGCAAGGTGTTCCGCTCTCACGCGCAGCATTTTGTCACCCAGGGCACGGCTGCTTTGCTAAATGGAGTCGGAGCAGCTGTACCACAGAGGCTACTCCAGGAACAGCTACAACAGCATCGCCAGCGCCAGCAGCGACGAGGAGCTGCTCGATGGAGCCGGCGTCGTCATGGACTTCCACACCACCGAGGACGACAACCTGCTCGATGGGGACGCTTCCTCCCCAGGTAGGGAGCGCCTGGGCCTCTGCCGACATCGTTATCGCGGGCTTGCAAGTCGGCCCTCCTTGCATGACAAATTCACTTCCGGCTCCAGTCCACAAGCTTGGGGCTTCTCAAACTTTATGGCGTCCCCGGAAGCCCTACAGGGGAGATAGTTGAAAAAAAAAAAAAAATAACAACAACAATGCCAACTGAGTATATTGCTATACTATGGGTCCAAAGAGCGTTTTAATTGGATGTGAATTTTTGAGGCCCAGTTCCAAAATGTCTTGACAATTTTTTTCAACTGCATCAGGTTTGGACATACAGTCATCCCTTGTTTTTAGAGGAACCCCCCCGCGAAAGGTGAAAAGCACTCGGTAGGATTTGCCCCTCCCCCCCTTAAGAATTTCAGTGGATGTGGGTGCCAGCATGTTTCAAATATTTCAACCATATTTGCACAATACATATTTGAGACAAAGATTCCAACAGTACATGTATTGTACTTCAATCTTTAATGAAAAAACCTTACTCAGGAGTTCCTCAAGAAACACATGGGAGGTAACATATGACGTTCATCTGATTCGTTGAAATTCGTTGCACCTCTCTATTTTCTCGTTTGTTCAATTATTGTTGGTCATGACTGAGAAATCTCGGACAAAGGTGTCTTCCCACAGAGGAACCTCCTTCGTGATCAATCACAACATGTCATGAAAGGTCATTTGAGCCAGAAGTACGTCGGCCTTCCTATTAATCAGTAGCTCTCGCTTTCCAAATGGCTGCTGACCTTTGGTTTTGTCTCTTGTTTTTATTGGTGCGCGGGCCACCACATGACAGCAGTTGGCGCTTTCAATCGCTGCGTGTGTGAGTGGGAGAGAGAGAGAGAGCGAAGCCAATTTTGACAGCAATATTGCACATGACTACAAATGACTTTTTGGGTACTTTGCTTCTGTTTACGTTTGTTAATTTTCTCGAGCATTTGATACACGTTTGTTGAATGTCACTTGAACTCTTTCAGTGTCATAAACGATGTCCAATGCTTGAGAACGAATGTTCATTTGCTGCCAGCCCCACAGTTCAAATGGATTGGACGTCTACTTGGGAGAGAGGAAGAGAGAGAGAGGGAGGAAAGGGGGGGGGCGGTTGGGGATGAGAGTGAGAGAATGTCGAGTGAGGGCTGGACAATAGCAGAAATGATCACGATTCTTTAAAACGATTATCCATCGATTTCGAAACTTTTTTTTTTCCAACTAGTAAAAGTCAAGCACTGCAAACTAACATCCTCCCTTCTGCGCATTCATCCCTGCACGTTGAGCACTTGATTCTTGAGCGTGCACTTTTGTATTTATTTTTGGGGGTCAAATACAAAATGACCATGTGAATATTGTGTGAAATCCCAGCCTCCCTCTTGGATTTTCATTCCGCTACATCCACACCTTTGGTCCCATTGTGTTTTTTTGCGGGGGGCGGGGG